TCCTTCCTGGCCGCTCAACCATCCCACATACAACTGAGCGCCTACGATGTCCCAGACACTGAGCCAGGAGGTCGGGTTACAACAGTCAACAAGACAGACACACTCTTTACCTGCCAGAGATGGATTACTGTACTCGCTGCCTGTACTCGCTGCACCAGGGGAGGCATGGGGCTGGATAGCATAGAGGTGGGACGCCCATCTCAACTATGGAGCTAAGCACGGTTTCCCAGAGCAAACACCATCTTCGCTGAGATGTGAGGGATATGTGGGAAAGATACACAGGAATCCTTGCGGTGAGGGTGGGACTGTGCTCCAGTCAGAGGGCTAAGCCCAAGGGGTGAGAGGTGCACAGTGCATTGAGGGAACTAAACGCGTTCAATGTGGCTGGAATTTAGAGGGGGCATGTGTTGGGGCGGGGAAGGGAGGGGAAGGGAAGATGAGGTGGGTGAGCTAAGAGGGCATCGTCCTGGCTTCACTGAGGATTGTGCCTGGCCTGCTCGAGAGCGTTGGAGAGCCCCTGAAGGGCTCCAAGTCGGGGAGAACCAGATCAGAGGCTCCAGGAAGGAGAAAGGACTGGAGAGCGGCAATGCTAGAGGAGCGGGGCTGGTTTGGAGGTTTCCAGATGAGAAGTGGTGGTGGCCTGGGTAGGGGTTGGCTGGGGATGGACTCAAGGGATGTTTGGGTGGAGAAGCAAATGGACTTGGAGATGTGACTGGATGAGGGAGAGGGAGGAATCAAGGCTGAACGTCCACATTACTGGGTGGGGCAATGATGGGGATGTCCTGAGATGGGAACAGTGGAGGAGAAGCAGGCTGGGAGGTTGGGAAGATGGTGAAAACAGTTTGGGATAAGAAGAATCTGAGAACGCATGCTTCTTGAGGACAAGGATCTTCTCTGCCTTGTTTATCCCCCTATGCTTGATACATGGGACAGTGTCGTACACTCTGTTAAGTAGATATGTGTTCAATACATGAATGAGTGAAAGATTCTATTATTTGCATGTGGAGAAGTCTAGGAGGCAGCTTTGAAGCTCAGGAGCTAGAACTGGGTTGGGGAGATTAACGTGAGTGGTCACTGGCTTCTAGTAGTAAAACAAAAAACAAAAAACAAACCCAGTGCCATTGAGTCGATTCCGACTCATAGCAACCCTACAGGACAGAGTAGAACTGCCCCATAGGGCTTCCAAGGAGTGCCTGGTGGATTTGAGCTGCTGACCTTTTGGTGAGCAGCCATAGCTCTAAACCACTATGCCACCAGGGTTTCCTTCAAATAGTAAATGAAGTAGAAGAAATAATGTGGATGAGATCCCCAGGGAGTGTATGAGGAATGCAAAGGGGTTGGCACAAGGACCTGAGGAGCATGGGCATTGAAAGATAGTAATTATTTGATGCAGTTCACCAGCCTTGCCTTGATCATGGTCTCTCCTTCGGCCCCTCAACCCTGCTGCTGCTTCTTCTAGTCTTTAAGCTCTCTTTTGTTCTCCTTTACTGAGACTTCTTCCTCTTTCTTTCCACCCTTCCAACTGTGGACATGCCCCTAGGCCCTCTTCTCTTTCTCTCTCCTGTGTTCACTTCTCCAGCTGGATTTTCTCTCCAGACTCAACGCACATGCCCACTGGGCATTGCCATCTGGACGTCCTGGTGGCATCTCAAACACAACACACCCTCACTGAGCTCATCACCTCCTCCCCAAACCAGCCTCTCCTCCTGATGTCTCTCTCCATCACTCCTCTTGCATATGGGGGAACTCCATAGAGATTTGTTGATTTGAGTCTTGAATTAGAAGTTTGGAATTTGGTACTTATTATCAAAACCTGAGTCAGCCAACCAAGTAAATTTCTCCAGTTGGTTCCCTTGAGCCTGGTGTCTTAAAGTCGGGGCCAGTGATTTCTTGGTGGAATGGCAAATAGTCATTTGGGGTATCTGATGTTTTTCTGTCTCTTTCCTGGCTCAGTGTTTTTTGTGATAATGACTTTTTTTTTTTTTTAAATACATGGTGCATCTGCCAAGGGAGTAATATGGAGACTTTCACTGACTCCAGATCCCCCCTCACCCTCGCTGCTAATAAACTCAGGAATTCATCTAAGATGTAGCTACAATTCTCCTTGAAAAATGTGGGACTTCCTAGCCTGAGACAGTGGCCTTCATTCTGGAATGTCAGAGCTAGAAAGGACCTCAGAGATAATTTAATCCATTCCACTTAGTTTATAAATGAAGAAATGGTGGTCCAGAGAGGTGTTTACTAAGACATTAAAACTCACATAAATGGATAAGGAATGAGAGGTTCTCTGGAAACATCACCTTTTCTCTGTGCTCCTTCTTTTTTTTTTTTTTAATTGTGGTTCAGATGAAGGTTTACAGAGCAAATTAGTTTCTCATTAAACAATTAATACACATACTGTTTTGTGACATTGGTTGCCCACCCCACAACATGTCAACACTTTCTCCTCTCAACCTTGGGTTCCCTGTTACCAGCTTTCCTGTCCCTTCTTGCCTCTTTTCCTTTCCCCTGGGCTGGTGTGCCCGTTTAGTCTCGTTTTGTTTTATGGGCCTGTCTAATCTGTGGCTGAAGGGTGAGCCTCAGGAGTGACTGCATTACTGAGTTGAAAGGGTCTCTGTGCTTCTTAAGTAGAAAACCAGTTGCCGTTGAGTTGACCCCAACTCAAGGCGACCCCACGTGTGTCAGAGTAGAATTGTTCGCCATAGGGTTTTCCAATGGCTGATTTTTCAGAATTACATCACCAGGGCTTTCTTCTGAGGCACCTTTGCATGGACTCAAACTTTCAACCTTTTGGTTAGCAGCTGAGCACGTTAACAGTTTGCCACTCAGGGACTCCTAGGGGTGACTATACACTGCTAAAATATATACTTGTCACTCTTTCTCTTTCCTGCTCTCTCTCTAATCTGTTGTCTTTAGTGCTCGGTCAGTCTGTAAGGGGCTGCGTGGGAATTTCACATTTATGGTCCACTGTGTAGGCCTAGCGTCCTGGGTATTGTGCTATTGTTCATGCAAAGCTTGCATAGTTCATGTCTGCATGCTCCTATGATTCTGATTTATTTTCCTTCTCTCTTCCCTCCTGTTTTCCCATGATTTTATAAAAGTTTAAAAATTAACCTAAGTTCCTCTTTGGGAGGTAGAACAACAAGTGATGAAATCTGAAGGTAAGACAGCTGAACAAAGATCTTCAAGAACACCCGCAGAAGGTCAGCGTGTCTGGAACGAGGTCATTGTGCCCAGCTCAGAGATGAACTAGCACTCCACAGATTCTTCAGACCCTGACCCTGTCCCTGTAAAATCCTCTGATCGGCCTCCAGAGGGGGAGGCAGATTTTGGAGGAGCTCATTCCCCTCTGTCTCCTGTATATCGATTTACAATAAAACCCTCTTGCTGTACTGGCTTCTGCCGCAGGCGGCTCACACCTGCGTTTTGTGGTAACAAGTCTTTTTACCCTTTCTAGATTCTCTCTCTGCTGCTTTATCAGAGGGCTTAAAAAGAAGAAAACTAATGTTAACACTAGCCCAGGCCAAACATTCAAGAAGGAAACCCACAGCCAAAATAGGAACTCGATAACGCAAACCTGTCGGTTCCTCAAACATGCCAGCTCCTCTCACCTCAGACCCTTGCCCTTGCAATGCCTTATCCTGGAATGTCTTCCTGCATCTTGGCACATTTTTGGCTCATTTTCTTCCTTCAGATCCCAGTACAACTGTCACCCCCTCAGGACAGTGTGCTTCCCAGCTTCCGTCAATCTGTAACCGACCACCTGGTACTCTTTTCTTCACAGGAGTTATCACACTCTGAAATTCCTTTGTGAATTTATTTGTATTCATTCATTGTTTCTTACCCCCCACTAGAAAGTAAGCTCAGTGAAGGCGGGGCCTTGTCTGGCTTGCTGACTGTATCCTCAGAGCCTACGACAGTGGGCGAATAGATATTTAATGAGTGAGTAATGGCAGTAAGTTATACCTCTCCATCAGTCTGAGTAATTTAGAGGTGGTCCTATGTTTGTATCATTAGTTATGGCTATGTGTATACCCAAGATGCGTGTTTACTGTTTACTGTGCAGCTTCTGGTAACTGCTTTCGCCAATGTACAGTTGTCATGGATTGAATTGTGTCCCCCCAAAATATCTGTCAGTGTGGCTAGGTCATGATTCCCAGTATTGTGTGACTGTCTACCATTTTATCATCTGATGTGATTTCCCTATGTGTTGTAAACTCTCTCACTATGATATAATAAGATGAATTAGCGGCAGTTATATTGATGAGCTCTACAAGATTAGATAGTATCTTAAGCCAGTCTCTTTTGAGATATAATAGAGAGAAGTGAGCAGAGAGATAGGGGGCCCTCATACCACCAAGAAAGTAGTGCCGGGAGCAGAGCGCGTCCTTTGGACCTGAGGTTCCTGTGCAGAGAAGCTCCCAGACCAAGGGAAGACTGATGTATCACAAGGACCTTCCTCTAGAGCCAATAGAGAAAGCCTCCCCCTGGAGCTGACGCCCTGAATTTGGACTCATAACCTACTAGACTGTGAGAGGATAAATTTCTCTTTGTTGAAGCCATCCACTTGTGGGATTTCTGTTATAGCAGCACTAGATGACTAAGACAACAGTCGTGCGCTGTATAATGTCCATGGTCTCAGGAGGTTATAACAGAGTTCAGAAATCCCCATTGGAGAACGGGACAGTCTCTTGGCTATTTAGTCAATACGGGTGCACTACAGCATCCATATGGCTTTGAGGTGCCGTCACAAAGTAGCACCCATTTGTTATTACGAACCATTGTATGGACCTTGAATTTTTAATATACTAGGCTTGCTGGGTTGGTTTGTAACTCGGGGACTACCCGCATATAATACATTGTGTTTGCACAATGTCCAAATCACGGAAGGTCCTATTTCACAGAACGTATCATGGATGTTAAACAACACGGAACTATGGTTTATATTCCTCCTCGCTCTCCGCCCTCGCACAGACTTACTGACGCTCCAGTATGTGTTTTCAAAAACAATATTACTTTATTACTACCAGCAGGAGTGGCCTGCATGGGGTGGTGGGTGTGCTGGGCTCAGGGCGTGTGTGGGCTGTGAGGAGTAGATGGTGACCGGGGCTGGGAGGACAGGCCCGGGCTTGGAGGCCAGGCTCAAGGGCTTCTCGGGTTTTTAGCGGACACGGTTTATGAAGGATTCATGGCAAGCCTGGGCAAGGCCACCAATAAGATTAAGAAATTCTGGGAAATCTAGCTGCCCGTCAGAGTTGAGGTCCAGTTTCTTCATTATGCGGTCAAGGACACCGGGGTCCTTCTGGTTCTGCAAAGAAAATAATCATTGTAAGTAATAATAATACCAGTATATCGTACTTTCTAAGGTGTTTTCAAATGTGTTGCCACGTTTAATTCACACACAAGCGTGAGGTACAGGGTGGGGGTTATTGGTAGCTCCATGTTTCAGATAGTAAAACAGAAAGAGGTGAAGTGACGTCCCCAAGGGGTAGACCTGGGACTCGAACCCAGATTTTCTGGCTCCTCGTCCAGGGTTCTTTCTGCGATATCAGTGGTCATTTAAGTTTGTAAGACAGTGGGACACTTCTTTCAAGATTTGCATGGAACTCCAATATATAAATTGTATAAAATGGAGTGGTTTGTGGTGGGAAGAGAACACAGGCCCCACCTAATCAGCCGCATTCTTCCCTCCCTAACCCCTGACGTATTTACGACCACTGGTCACATGTGGCTGTTTGTATTTAAATTAATTAAAATAGAAAACTCAGTTCCTCAGTCACGCTAGGCATATTTTCAAGTGCTCAAGAGCCACATGTGGCTGGTGGCTGCCACATTCGAGGGTGCAGACATAGAACACTTCCATCTTTGCAGAAAGTTCTATTGGCGTGGAGGGATACAGTTAGAAAACTATTCTATTACACTATTTGCCATTTCGTATGCCTCTCTCCCTAAATGGGAAAAACAAATCACCACTGTCTATGTCACGCAGTTTGCACATTTTGATCTTTAAATCACATCCTGCTTCAGGGAAGAGACCCATTACTAGTCATCTAGAGCTCACCCCGAGGCAAATGACTCAGCCTGGGCTGCTCTATGGACCACCCAGCTTGGAGTGGGCACAAAGGAGTCAGGTGTGCACCAGGGCAGACAGGTGCCATTCTTCCCGGAGTGTGGGGAGCTGCTGCTGGTCCCTCATTGCTGGCCCTTCTGCCAGGGCCTGGTTTTGTGCTTGGGTCATTTGGGGGGGCCAGGGCTGTGACCAGTACCTTTGTGAAGGCACCTAGTTCTGTATTCATGAAGTTCAGGAACTCCTTCTTGGAGAGGGTAAGGCCGTGACCATCCTGTCCAGCATACCTCTGGAACACTGCAATCAGGGACTCGATGCACCGCTCGGTCTCTGTGGGGCTAGAGATGTTTGCCTTTGGAGAGAAAATTCAGGGCTTAGACAAGGGCAAGATGTGAAGGGCTGGGTGCTAGAGGACACTCTGGAGAATCTCAACTCTTCATTTTAGGCCAAAGCAGTTTCCTAAAAGGCAGGGTCATTTTTAGGGGGTTGGGAGACCCAGGACAGACACAGAAAGTCACCTTCTGTGTGTGAGCTTCCTCTCCACCCCTCCTCACAGTTTATTCCAGGTGACATTTCAGGTGAAATACAGTTCCAGGTAAATGTGGAACATGAGGGGTATCTTTGAAAGCAGTAAAGTAGACTTCCTAAATGAGGGTCAGGGTAGCAAGGTTTATGGATATTTTTAAGACGTTTGGACACATATATGTATAACTATATATCCCAGAATCCATATGCACACCATGCAGTGTCTATAGATTAAACACTTGCCTCTTTTCCCAGAGTGTGATGAATGAAATGCCAGTTCTTTTAGAAGTGATACTGAAATGCCAAGACTCATGCATTTTCTCAAAGAAAACTAAAAGCATAGCTATTATCGTGTGTGGGGCAGGGCTTATATCTGAGAACTTCCTGGATGTTCAAAAGGGGCTTTCAAAAAACGGTCAACTTTTAAAAAACAGAAGAATGTAAGGGGGCAGGGAAACTAGATTAATGGAAACGGAACAGCAAGACAGAAAGGATAAGAATGTTCATGGATTGTGAGGAGCGTAACCAATGTCACGAAAGCATCTGTGTAGAAACTGTTGAATGGGAACCTAAACTGCTGTGTCAATCTTCACCAAAAACCCAATTGCATTTTATAAAACAAAAAACCCAAAGTGGCTTTCATACTCAAAAGCCAACAACCATTAATTTTACATGTGAGGAAACCGAGGTGCAAGAAGAAAATCAACCTGGCAGAGCCACCTTTAGAATCTGGGCCTCAAGGTCCCTTTCCTACGGTCCTCAGCCTTTGCTCCTCCCAATTCTAGGTGCCACTAATTATCATAGGAATGGACATGTCCCGGGGAGGAGCCTCTCTGGAGGTGACGCCTTTCTCTTCAAACCAAAAACCAACCAAACCCATTGCCGTCAAGTCAATTCTGACTCATAGCGACCCTATAGGACAGAGGAGAACTGCCTCACAGAGTTTTGAAGGAGCACCTGGTGGATTCAAACTGCCGACCTTTTGGTTAGCAGCCGTAGCTCTTAACCACTGTGCCACCAGGGCTTCCCTCTTCAAACCAGGAAGGTTCATATGTTCACACAGAGACTACTAGGAAGCCCCCACGGGATCTACAGAGCCGGATCACACGCTGAGGCCACAACGGGATGAGGAGAAGTGTCAAATCTGCCAGACTCTCCTTTTTTTATGTAAATATGTATTTTTTTAATTGTGCTTTAGGTGAAAATTTACAAAGCAAATTAGTTTCTCATTAAACAATCAGTACACAAATTGTTTTGTGACATTGGCTGCCAACCCCGTGATGTGTCAACACTCTCCCCTTCTCGACCTTGGGTTCCCCATTTCCATCTCTCCAGCTTTCCTGTCCCCTCCTGCCTTCTTGTCCTTGCCCCTGGGCTGGGTTGCCCGTTTAGTCTCGTAGACATCGTTGAACTACGTGTATTATTATTGTTTGTTTTATGGGCCTGTCTAATCTTTGGCTGAAGGGTGAACTTCAGGATTGACTTCAGTACTGAGTTAAAAGTGTGTCCGGGGGCCGTACTCTTGGGGTTTCTCCAGCCTCTGTCAGACCAGTAAGTCTGGTCTTTATTTTTTGTGAGTTTTAATTTTGTTCTCCATTTCCCTCCGGCTCTGTCCAGGACCCTCTACTGTGATCCTGTCGGAGATGATGGTTGTAGACTCTATTTTCCTCACAGAATTCTTCAAGGAAATGCTATCACGCGGAGCCTGCCCATCGTTTTTTAACCAGGGACCTGGGGCCTGAGGCGTGATGAGCTCTTGGGCTCCCCCAGGTGGATAAGAGCAGTAACTGCAGACACTGTGGGACACTTCCCTGCCACACCCTTCCTCCCAGACTTCACTGCTGGCATTAAACAATGGTTTACGTTTGGATGATAACGTTTGCAATTTAGTGTTTAGCTTCTGATGTCTTCTTGGGTGGGGTGGGCTTTCTGGAGCCCAGAGCTAGAGGCTTTCAGGACACATAATTCACACGTGCTATTCGTTATTGATCTGAACCCTGGCAGAGCTGCTCACCTCCCTCTGATAGTTTTCCCACCTGTCTCCCCAGGGGTCTCCAAGCCTACCTAAGGTGCCCTCGCTTCTAGGGGGGCATTCAGAACAACGGAAGTCTTCTGGAGGTGGATCTTTCCCACAACAGTCCCATTGTTGGGATCCTCCCCACCCCCCCACCCCGAAACGTGAAGAAGAAATTTCACTTAAATAAGAGTCAAGGATTGCAGTTCTCACTCCCAGCCCGCCACGCTCCCTTTCCTCCTGTGGATATATGATCGTACCCACCTTCCTCCAGGGCAGTCAGCCTAGTTCCTCACCACTGGGTTAGTGCTGGGCCTGCCTTTTCAAGGTACCCTGAAAGCAATTCACCCTTTCTGCGTGGAAAGGAAAAGTGGGAAAAGCAGGCGGGAATACAGGTTGACACACTAAAGCAGGGGTTGGCAAACTTTTTTTGGTAAAGGGCCAGATAGTAAATATTTTAGACTTTGTGGTCCATGGGGTCTTTGTTACAGCTTCTTAACTCTGCTGTCCAGGAGGAATGCAACCATCCATTAAAACCCTGTTGTTGTGGGGTCAGTTCCGACTCATGACGACCCAATGTGTGACACAGAAGAACTGCTTCATAGGGTTTTCTTGGCTGTAAGCTTAATGGAAGCAGATTGCCAGGCCTTTCTTCCGTGGTGCCACTAGATGGGTTCGAACTGCCAACATTTAGGTTAGTAGTGGAGAGCAAACTGTTTCTATCAGCCAGCAACTCTAAAGCAGCCACAAACAATTCCTAAATGAATGGGTGTGGCTGTGCTTGAAGAAAACCGTAGGGACACGTAAGTTTGAGTTGCATATAATTGTCATGTGTGCTAAAGTATTCTTCTTTAGTTTTTTCCCCAACCATTTAAAAATGTAAAAACATTTCTCAGCTCCTGGCCCTGAAGCCGTAGTTTGCTGACCCCTTCACTGAAGAGAAGCAAAGGAGGAGGTAGATTTTGAAGGTGGGTTCATGGAAAAGGTAGAAGGAAAGTTCAAAGGGGAGATGGAAGGAGAAAAGCAGTGAGAGCCTAAAAAGATGGTGGGGTAAAAGGGAAAGAAAGCAGGAAGCTTGGCGGGAACTGGGCCTCTCCCACATTCCTGGCTTTGGTTCCCTGAAGCAACGGGGTGTAGTTTCAGTCCCTTTGTTACTGGCCGTTTGGTTGCTTATTGAAACTCTTATTTTCCCTCAGGACTTAGACGACTGAGTTCTGAAGCGCTGTCTTTTGGGTTCACAGAAATTACTTGTGACGACTCAGAGGATCCCAACCCCCGTTTTAACTTTTCTCACAGATCTCCCTGGCCAGTGGCCAGGAGCCTAGTACTGAAGGGGGCGCTTCCCACACAAACAGGAAGTCGCTGTGATTCCCTCCATTCCAGGTTGAGTGAGGGGCGCCCTCTCAGCACCCAGGAACTGTGGTGGGGCCTTTTCCCCTTACAGGGAGGCTTCAGAGCAGAGCACAGCACAACTGTCCCCAGGGCGGCCTCTGTACTTCCTCTTCCCCAGCCCTGGCCCTTATCTTTACTGGCAAACGAAAGAACTACCAGGTTCCACACTTAGGCTGTTACTCCAGGTATAATTTTAGGGCTGCTGCTTTTCGTTCCCTCTTCCCTAATTCTGTCCCACAAGATCCATTTCTTCCTGCTGTTTCCTGCCACGTCCCCAGATAAAGCAAAGATAACGCCTGGTGGAAAGTATATATTGCTGTTATCTTTTTCTTTTCGTTTAAGAGGATAAACAGTAAAACGTTAGGCTTACCATGTTGGAGCGGAGCAGAGGACTGTTGGCTGTGACAGGAACGCAGAGAGCTGTGGGTCTGCTGCCTGCAGAGATCTTGCCTGTGGACGGCCCAGCCCTTCCCCTTTCCAGCATTACTCAAGCCTTACTCAGACAGCCCCTGGCCTCTGGTTGGCCAGCCCCACGCTCACAGATCAGGACTCGTCAGCCTTCAGCTTCTTTTGCTAAACACACAGCCTCTCCTTAAAACTTACACAAAACCCACTGTCCTCTCGAGTCTTAACCACTTTCTCTCTCCTCTTCCTGTGAACCTTTACGACTTTGCCTTTTCTGAATGAAAAGGTTTGCATGATAGTCTTTGGGAAGTCTATCTGTCCATGTCTGTGGGTCCTTTCCTTGTCTGTGCTCATTCTGGAGGTTAGCTGGGCAGAAAGGTTCCTTTTGAAAACGTGTAAATCAGAGTGTTGTACGGAGTCCAGGTCATGTCTGCAGGGTAGAAGTTTGCTAGGAACGGGGCTAATTATTCCCCCACACTGAAGGTATTTAATAGAGTAAACAGTGCTAATTATCACCAAGCGGAGCACCCTTCTCTCAAACTCTTCGTCTCCAAACTGACAGTGAAATAGTGCTGCAATTAAAAATTGACCCATGCGAGCAGGGTATTTATCTGTCTTTGCAGTGGAGTTTGGAGGAAAGGACCCTTTGTTTCTTGGGAATTAAGAAAGCTATGTCTTAGGATTCAGAAGCTGTGGGTCCTACTCCTGGATCTATTCTTCATTGCAATATTTCCATGTCCTGATCTGTAAAAGCAGGTCATACCGCACTTCCTACTTCATAGGATTGTTTTGACTGTCAAATGAAATAATTTCTCTGAGAGGCCTTCAAATCTACGAAGTAGATGCAAACGAAAGATAATGGACCCGGGGCTTCGCCTGGCACAGCTTTAGCCATTATCTCTGCGCACATGATGCCAAATCTTCATCTCTACTTTCAGCTACTCCAAATCCACGTTTTCAGTTTTGTGCTTATAAACCCACTTGAAAGTCCCACTGTTGTAAACAGACTCACTGTTTCGAGAAATAGCTTGTTTTCCCTAAAGCTGTTTCCTTCCCGGCTTTCTCCCTCTCTGCTAATGGTACCGTTGTTCTTCCATGCTCCTGAGTTGAGAACACTAGACTCGTACTTTGACTCTAAATCCCTCTTACCTGTGTCTTAGTTAGTTGGTGTTGCTATAACAGAAAGCCACAAGCGGATGGCTTTAACAAACAGAAATTTATTCTCTCACAGTTTAAGGGGCTAACAGTCTGAATTCAGGGCACCAGCTCCAGGGGAAACCTTTCTCTCTCTCTGGGCTTTGGGGGAAGGTCCTTGTCATCAATCTTCCCCTGGTCTAGGAGCTTCTCAGCGCAGGGATCCTGGGTCCAAAGGACATGCTCTGCTCCTGGCTCTTCTTGCTTGGTGATAATGAGGTCCCTCTCCTCTCTGCTCACTTTTCCCTTTTATATTTCAGAAGAGATTGACTCAACCTAATCCTATAGAGTGTATCCTCCCTCATTAACATAACTGCCACTAATCTTGCCTTATTAACATCATAAAACCAAAACCAAATCCGCTGCTGTGGAGTCGATTCTGACTCATAGAGACCCTATAGGACAGAGTAGAACTGCCTATAGAGTTTCCAAGGAGCAGCTGGTGGATTCGAACTGCCAACCTTTTGGTTAACAGCTGAGCTCTTACCCACCAGTTAGGATTTACAACACGTAGGATAATTACATCAGATCACAAAATGGAGGACAACCACACAATACCGGAAATTACGGCCTAGCCAAGTTGGCACACATGTTTGGGGGACACAATTCAATCCAAAACACCCTTCAAATCTTAGCAAGCACCAAGTTTTAATCAGTTTTATTATTACACTGTCTCTCACATCTGCCCTTTTTTGTTCTGTTCCCGTTTCCTCCGTTCTAGTTTAGGTCTTCACTGCCTGTCTCCTCTAATATTCTAAGTGGTCTTTTACTCTCTAATTTGTTTTACTGACTATGAAAAACACATTCTCCTAAAGTACAGCTTTGATCAATTGCCTGCTTAAAAACGAAACAAAAAAACCAAACAAAATGGCTCCCCAGTGCGTTTGATAGCAAATCTGGACTTCTTAGCATCTAGCTGACTCTGAACAACCTATTTAACTTTAATTAAATATTTAATTCCTTGATTTATTCATTCAACACATATTTCTGAGCACCTACTATGTGCCAACCTCAGTGCTAGGCAGTAGAGATACGAAGATGAGTGTAATATAGTCTGCCTTTGAAGAAGTCTATGGATAAGCTTACGGTGGTGGGGTGAGGGTGGGGTATTCCATGATGGCTCCTGGGGTCCATGAACACGCTAAAATTATATGTGAAATTTTCTACATTAGTCAGTTTTTTTCCTGGGGAAAGAGTCATAGCTTTTATCTGATTCTCCAAAAAATCTCTGATAAAAAAGTATTTGAAAATCATTAGTCTAAATCACTCCATACCTCAGTCATGGGGCCTTCCATACCACAGACCTTTTAAGAGAAAACGCCCCATTTATAGCCCCTGCTGAAGGGGCAGCCCAGGTGTCCATGCTTTGCATGATTAGCACTGTGCCCGCTGTCACAGCTGATTGGACTGAAGTTAGCTCTGGACTCAAGAACTGACACTGTAGATTGTGTTCTGCCTCATTAACATAACTGCTACTAATCCTGCCTCATTAACATCATAAAACCAAAACCAAGCCCGTTGCTGTGGAGTCCATTTTGACTCATAGCGGCCTTATAGGACAGAGTAGAACTGCCCCATAGGGTTTCCAAGGAGTGGCTGGTGGATTCCAACCACCAACCTTTTGGTTAGCAGCCATAGGATGGTGTTGGATTAGGGCCACAGGATGGCCCACAGTAGACCTCTCAGTCTGGCCTGAAAAGGTGATCTGGGGCCAGTCAGCGTCTTGTTCTTGGGAAACAGAAATCGGAAACCCTCAGAGAATTAGACAGAAGAGCTGAAGCCGGACATTTGCGAAGAGAGAAACCATGAGGTCATGGCAAATCAAAATTAGGAAGAAGCGGATGGGCAGAATGGAGGGGAAGTAAGAGGACTGTTAACTGGAAAAAAGAAGAGAAGTAGCTAGTTGGCTATTAGCTGCGTTGTGTAAATGGCGGAGCAGTGAGAGTGAAGAGCCCGCCGTCCGTCTCCATTAGTGTTCTTACTCTTCCCGAGCCTGGCTGTGTGGCATTCCTTTGTTTGTGTAGGACATTTATTCTTACAACGACTCCTCTGCCCCATGGGCAGCTTGAGCGAAACCGAAGAGTTAAACCAAATAATTGTAAATCGTCCAGAACCAGGTTGGGAGATCAACCACATCTAGTTAGGGTTGCTGGTGGTGGCAACTCCTCAGGGCCATGCTGAAAGGGGTTCATGACTATGTTATCAGTCAGAGAGGGAGAGTCCAGGAAACGTAGAGTTGGCAAAGTAGGTAAACAATGAGTCAGACTGAAGGGCTAAAGCAGGCAAAGAGCTGAGGATGAAGGAAGGCTGGGAAATTGACGGCAAGAGACAAAACCGAGGTGTGCATGAGCAGAGGGCCTGTTCCAGAAATAATGTGGGAACTTCCACAGTCCAGTGTGATTGCAATCTGAGTCTTACGTGCAATCTGAACTCTGTACAGGTTAGGTTGGTCCCTAAATGGACACAATAGTGTAACGGACATAATAATGGGTGTGTACAGGATACAGTCACATCCCCAGGAAGGAAGTGAGTGGTTAACTCTGGGGGAGCAGGGAAAGCGTCATGGAGCAAGGGATGATTGAGTTGGGTATTGAAGGATGGATAAGAATTCACCAGGTGGACGGGCACGGTGGTGAAGCGAGGTGAAGCACAGCTATGTGTAGAATGGGTTTTGTGAGCACAGACACTGGAACTAGATTCAGGGGTTCAAATCCCAGTGCTGCAACATATCAGCTGTTTGAGCTCGGGCAAGTTACTTATCTGCTTTGTTCCTCAGTTTCTTCATCTGTAAAATGGAGATGACAGGAGTACTTTATTGGTTGTTGTGAGGATTATATTAATTCATGTAAAGTGCTTAGAATTTAGAGCAGTGTCTTCAAAGGAAGACTTGCGTAATAGCTTGCACAGAAGGAAGGAAGGATGAAGCATGATGTATGTTCTTAGCGCTTGGAGGTGGCTCAGTGGTGCTGGATTTTAGGGTAACGGTTGATGGTATATGTGAGGAGAAGCTGTGGGAGATGAGACCACACTCTCTGCTGTCATTTACTGTTTACTTATTTGTCATCCTTACTAGACTGTAAGCTGCTTGAGGGCAGAGACGGTGCCCTTTTCACTATAGTATTCCAACATTCATTCAGAGTATGTAACGAGGGCCTTCCACGTGAGTGGTGCTGTCCTAAGCACTGGGGCTGTAGTGGTTAATAAGACAGGCCAGGTTTCTGCTCTGATGGTGTACAACCTAGCTTTTGTGGGTAAACCAAAATTTAAGGAGTGGGCGGAGGAAGATGATCCCACAAAGAAGAAAGCAGAGAAATGACCAAAGAGGCAGAGAGAGAGACCCAGAATCTTCTCTGGTGTCACTGAAGCCCGTGGAAGAGAGACTTCCAAGGTGGAAGGAATAGTGGACAAGGTGGAAGACTTCAGAGAGGCGGAGTATGATGAAGGCTGAGACGTGTCCATGAATTTGGCAGTTGCATGCTTGGAGACCTTTGCCAGAGCAGTTTTATTGTGGTGGTAGGCAGAAAGGCAGGTGGCAGTGAATTGAGGAATGAATGAGAGATGAAGAGTGGGGGCAAGGAGTGTGGTTTACTTATTTGAGAATTGAAGACTAGGAAGTTAGGAGAGATGGAATGGTAGCTAGAAGGAATTCAGGACCAACGGAGGATTTAAAGACATAGAGGAGAGGATTGATGGGTTTGTAGGCTGTGGAGAAGGAGTTATCAGAATGAGACATCAAACATGCAGGGTTGAAGGCTATAAATGATGGAGAAGGTCCCAGACCTTCTGGGGTGGATGGAATTCCTCCACAGAGGTGGAAAAGGAGAAGAGCAGGAGTGAGGCTGTAGATAGTCCT